CACAGATTAAACAGCTTACATCATGTGTTACACTCCGTTGTGTATAAACAGAAACTTGTTGTATCCAACAGATTTTGGATGCAAATTACTGGAAGTTGCTTTGAACATTGACAATAGAGTAAAATGAACAAAACCTCAAGACAGCCTGAAGACATCCAGTTGAGATATTCTGATATTCCACATCAGCACTTATGATAAGAGCCAGATCAGTAAAAATAAAATTCATTTGCAATGGTAATGTAGTTTTATATGGACTTAAATTCCTATAACTGAATAGGAAATTGGAAAGAACTACCCAGCTCAAAGTGGGCTCTTGAGCAAGTGCAGAGTGTCTTTTCCTTTCTTCAGGGAGAAAAGCCTTTGAACACGTGACCTGCAGGCAAGCAAGCAGCTGGAATCTTCTATTTTACTCTTAACTTGGTGGAGCACATTGTATTAAAAGCCCAAACAGATTTAAGGCCATCCTAATTGTCCAAAGGTCCTTTCTCCTTCTTTTGACCTTCTCTATGTGGATTCTAATGCAGCCTTCTTCAAAGTCGGCTCTCGGTCTTAGAATCTGCTCTCCCCAACAACCCGGCTCTCCTCCTTCTCTAGCTGGCTGGCTGTTGCGATGGCAGGCGTCTTCGTTTGGCAAGGGCAGAGCCAAAGTTCAGCACGATCCGCGGCCGCCCGTGGAGAGAGTCGCTGCCGGGGGCGAGCTTGCCGTCTGGGTTGTCCATCGGGGCACCGGCAAAGGCTGCGCTGGAGCCGCCGCGCCCAGGGCCGGTAACTGTGGAACAAGAGGCAGACGTAGGGATTGACGGCGCTGTTGGTGGCTGCCATCATGCTGCTCAGGGTCGTCCGGGCTTCGTGGGTGGCGACCTCGGGAGAGGCAAAAGCGAAGCCCAGCTCCAAAATAAAACGCGGGAAACCGCAGAGCGCGAAAAGCGCGGCGAGCGCCAAAGTCAGCTGCAGCGCCCTAACTCGGGCGCGGGGCAGGCTTCGGGGCGCCGACGGCGAGCGGGACGCGCACTTGGAGATCGGCAGAAGCCGCAGAAGTAGCGGCGGGCTGGGGCCGGCGGCGCCAGGCAGCTCAAGGCGACAGGGTCCGGCGTTGCCGCCGGGACCCTCGTGCGACGGCTCCTCCTCCTCGGATCCAGAAGCGCCGAGGGTGGCGACGATGCGGCTGCATGTCCTGACCAAGAGGCAGGCGGGAGCTACGAAGCCCGTGATGGCTTCGTATACGGCGTAGACCTGTCCGTGCCATCGGGGCAGATGAGGGAAGATACTGAGGCAGCGGCTTCCGGCTTGCGACGGGGCCAGCCTGTAAACGAAGAGTTGAGGCAGGGCAAGCAGCAACGCCAAGAGCCAGCCCAGCGCGGCTAGGGCGCTCCGGGCGAGCACGAAAGGCGGCAGCGAGTCCTGCGGGGGCGGAGGGCCCGTGGCTAAGCGCTGTCGCTCGAGCGCGATAAGAACCAGCATGTGCGACGGCGCCAGCAGCCCCGAGCCTTGAAGAAAGCGGAGCAAGCGGCAGGTGGCGTCTCCGGCCGCCCACCCCGCGTCTCCCGGCTCTGCAACGCGCTCGTCCTCTGCTGGAGGCAGCTGGGAGAGCAACACCAGCCCGCAGCCGTAGAGATCGGCGATGGCCAAGTGCGCCAGGAGGAAATCCATCTTCCGCCGCCTCCTGAACCGACCTCCGCAGCAGCACCCTCCGCAGCGGAGCCGATACAACAACAGGCAGTTGCCCACCAGCGCCAGCAGCATGATCACGCCCGCCCCGATGGTCTGCGCAGGCTGTCCGGGCAAAGCCCAACGGGAGGGCAAAGAAAGGTTTAAGTTCCAGGCGGGATGCTGAAGGCTGGACAAGTTGGCTCCCGGGGTTTGGCTGTCTGGCTCGAGCGCATCAGCCATGGCTCCCTCTGGCCGCCAAAACTGGGAACAAACTTTACTCTTAGAAAGCAGCCGCGCGGGTTGTGTGTGGATGGACGTGCCTCGGCAGCATATATAGGGGCTCTGCCTGTCACCTGGCACTCACCGTGGGTGGGCACTCCACGAGAGGTAGAGCCTTCGCGCCTGTGCTCTGCCCACCCCTCAGCCTCCCCCCCACCCCACTTCAGCGACAGTCGCAGTCTTTCACACCCACCTGAAGTGAGCCCAGGTTTCTCCCCACACTTTGTGAAGCTGCCTTTCACATCTGAATGAAATCATCCCCTTAACCCTCCCTCCCCCTTTCTTCCACAGACTCCACTGCTTGTTTGCTTGCTTGGTGGTGTATCTGCCAAAATATGGCCGTGCATCTGAAACCTGTTGATAAGGNAAAGAAACAATTGAATAAAAAGTTGACATTGATTTCAATATTAAGAAGATGGATTTTGTCCTGATCAGTACTTGTTATCAATGATTCATTTTAATGTCTGTGGAGATTCTCAATCATTCAGGTCATGGTTGTCCCAAAGGTGCTTTTCAAAAGGCACCTGGACTTTCTTAGCTTTTTTCCTTAAAAACGTTCCACTTCTCATCCAAGAAGCTTCTTCATTTATCTGAAAAAGAAGAACTGAAGAAGCTTCTTGGATGAAAAGTGAACATGTTTTCAAGGGAAAAAAATCAAGAACGTCCAGTTTCCTTTTGAAAAGCACCTTGAGGATTGATTTCAATCAACCTTAGTAACCCTTCTGGGGTACATTTCCAGTACAAATATGTTTCCATATCGTGGATTTGATTTTATCCATTTTACATATTCTGTTTTTTTTCTGTTTTTAATGTACCATTGCAGCCATTCTAATGCCATTTGATATAGAGTGGTTAAAACAGAAAGGATAGAGAACAAGTCTGGTTAAGAGCACCTGCACAAAGATTTGTTGTACTGTACCTCTTTAATATGGAAATCTATTATGAAAACTAGGGGGAATATAAGTAGAATATTAACTTGCCATATTATAGTCAATTCAGAAGCATATTGTTAAAAAATGACTAGGATGAACTACTTTTGATACTGCTTTATAGTCATGTAGAGAGAGGACTGCAGGTCTAAGCTAAAGAAAACATATTTCCAAGAAATTTTGCTTAAATCTTATAGCCTTCCTTCAACTTTAGCTTTCAGAAGTAAAAATACTCTGTTACACTATCTGCAATTGCCAATGTTTGTTGCTTATCAACAAGACATACATTAATAGCTAAAGTAACACAACTAATATTTAATTGCAAAGGAGATGAATTTCTATAAAACATTATTGAAAGCTTTCAGTTTCTGCGTTTATATCTGTGGATTTTTGTCGTTGTTTACACATGTGCACATATCAATAATGCAACCTTTACTGGGATTCATAATACATATTAGGTCAATATATAAGTAAAACCCTTTACAATGAACAGAAAGGACTCTTATTATAATAAACTATGTCTCATTTTATATTGGACATTTATTTGCAATTAATATGTAGAATATGACAAAATAACGGAAGGCATTAATAATACAATCTCTTTGCATAGCAACAAAAGTAACCCTCTTGTTTCTCTACCTGTCTGGAAATATGAAAAATAAAACTAGTATGTGCTGTATTGATGGTTCATGCCTAGATTGGCATATATTTACGTAGTCTAAGCAAGGATTGAATTTCTCTGTGTTTGATTTGAACACAAACCTTTGGGGCAGAAACATTCTGGGTTGGGAGATAGCAAGGAAAATGCCAGGTAATTGGAAAGAGCTAAGTGAAAAAGAGAGAATGAAATGATCAGGGGAGGGCCAGGGGATTGGCTGACAGAAGTACAGCAGCATAGCAGTAAAGGCTTCAGGGAGATTGGTGGATGTGCTGGCCCACAAATTGTGTAGAGAAAGGGAGACAAGGCCAACATGCAGTAACATTTCCTGCTTGCCAGTAAGATGCTTCCATAGCTTTGGACAAAGTCGGACAACCACAAGCCCTACAGTGTTCTGTCTGGCTGCTCTATGACCTACCCAGAATTGTTTGACTAAGCTTACAAGTATTTGTTGTGTGCACAAAACAAGCAAACACAATTTTCAGTTTGTGTACGTCCATAAATATTACAAAGTACAAGGAGAAATGTCTGAATTTAGTGAATGCCACAGATTAAACAGCTTACATCATGTGTTACACTCCGTTGTGTATAAACAGAAACTTGTTGTATCCAACAGATTTTGGATGCAAATTACTGGAAGTGCGAACAATCCCATTTGCTTTGAACATTGACAATAGAGTAAAATGAACAAAACCTCAAGACAGCCTGAAGACATCCAGTTGAGATATTCTGATATTCCACATCAGCACTTATGATAAGAGCCAGATCAGTAAAAATAAAATTCANAAAACACATAAAAATTGCAAGTAGAAAAATAGGAACCACCTTTGGTGGGAAGGTAACAGTGTTCCATGTGCCTTTGGCATTTAGTCATGTTGGCCACATGACCACAGAGACTTCGGACAGCGTTCTTCGGCTTTGAAACGGAGATGAACACTGCCCCTTAGAGTCAGAAACGACTAGCACATATGTGTGAAGGGAACCTTTACCTTTTACCATACGTATCAGATATTCAACAGGATCCCACATATGGAACATGAGAACAAACTATTATCCAGCAATATTTTATACCAAGCGTATTGGAGCTTGGTATGAGGCATGACCAGAAGCCACAGATAGTAGTATTGTCCACAACAGCAATGTTATATTATCAGCACTCAGTTGACTTTGCTTATAAATATATAAAAGTACATTGATTTAGTAATGATCAACTGGTCTCATTGATTTCATTTAGTCCATAATCCAAATATTGTGTTGGATTTTATTTTATATCTAACATTTTGGGCATATGGGATATATGAACAAGGGATACACCAGTCATTACAGTATGAACACTCAGAAAATGGAAATATAAGATTTCACTCACCCAACATGTGGACATATTTGGATGTGTACAAAGGTTTATTCTTTCTAGGTAGCAAAAGTCTTTCCATTAAGGTCTCAGAAGAAGGCAGCCCCTGGTTGGACTGGTCTCGGGTTAAAGGTTAGACAAGGTAGGGCCTGATTAACACTTTGATGAAAGGCCATCAAGAAATCATAAGGCTAACTTCAGAGTAAAAAAACCCCTAACTACTACTATTATCAAGAAAAATACATGGATGTATCTATCTAGTCAGCATGAATCCTAAGAGTTGAAATCTATGCATCTTAAGCGTTTCCAAGGTTGAGAAACACAGTGAGAGTAATGAAGTGATGGAATTTTTTTTTAAAAAGCCCCTCCCTTTCTTTTCTCTGCTGAATTTGCCTCTCCCACTTTGTCATAATAAAGTGCTCATATTCAGAACTTTTTGTCAACTTTTAAGCCATAGTCAATGAGAGATTTCAGTGGTTTTCAATGTTTACCACTTTGTTTTTTCCCATCTTTATATTTTGTTTCTGCAAACTATGTATCACACAAATTTTAGTATTTGATTTTTTTTGAGGGCCTGAACAGTATTTCTCCTTTAGACCATAAATTTCATCAAGGGGGGAGGGGTTTCTCTGTAAGACAAATTGTCACCCTTTTGTGCCACTGGTGGACATTTTTGAAATTTAGAATGCATTTTATGCACATTTCGCATGCTGTATGGGAAATAGCTAAGCATACAAATGGGTGGGAATGCTTCCTGCCCTTCTTTCCTTTCTGAATAATATCTACCCACTCCACAACTTTTATCCCATTTAATGGGTGGAAGGAAAATGCTTCCAAGCCACAGACTGAACTGCAGTCGGTTGTAGTCTTTATGTTCTGGAAAGATTTATCAATTCCATGTAGCACCCAATGGGATTCTTGGAAACAAAATATTGGAAAACAGCACTTTGATTTATAACAAAATACAGTTGCTTTTTAATTCTTTAAAAAAATAAATTATTTTAACATTAATGAGGAATTGGGACGGTAGACCCCAAAGGAGATATCTACAAGTCCACTGATACTCATGATACCATCTTAGGGATTCCAAGGGTAGTTGGCTAGGGAAATCTGAATTCACATTGTAGCTTACACGGCCATGATATTGGGTCTAATAATTATTTGAACATGGGGAATAATATCATTGGTCAAGTGAATCCTGTTTCAAAAAGAAAGGAAAGTGAGTAGGAAAGGAAAGCCACTCCAAAAAATTTCATTGCTTCTGTTATGAGAAAAATAATTTCTGATCTTTCTGAGCTGCCATAATCCCTTCCCTACTTCCGAAAATTTGATCTTAGATGTAGTGAAACGTAATTGTGCCTCTGAAAGAAACAATTGAATAAAAAGTTGACATTGATTTCAATATTAAGAAGATGGATTTTGTCCTGATCAGTACTTGTTATCAATGATTCATTTTAATGTCTGTGGAGATTCTCAATCATTCAGGTCATGGTTGTCTCAAAGGTGCTTTTCAAAAGGCACCTGGACTTTCTTAGCTTTTTTCCTTAAAAACGTTCCACTTCTCATCCAAGAAGCTTCTTCATTTATCTGAAAAAGAAGAACTGAAGAAGCTTCTTGGATGAAAAGTGAACATGTTTTCA